ACATTGATTAACAGAAGTATATTTACTTTGCAGGAGGTGTTCACAATGGAGAATATGTCCCCTGGCTGTACTGCTATGACCCTGTGATGGATGTCTGGGCCCGAAAACAGGACATGAACACAAAGCGAGCAATCCACACTTTGGCTGTAATGAATGATCGACTGTATGCAATTGGAGGAAACCATTTGAAAGGTCACATTTTTAATAGCGAAAAACATTCCAGTGTCCCCCATCTCCTGCTAAAGAATATTTTTGTTCGACAGTCATTGTTAAATACATTAAAAACCAGGCAACACAATTTAACAGGACACTTGAGCCAGCAATTTTAAAAACATTTTATGCAAATTATTTTAAAATTATAACAGTACATTAAATATATGAGTAATGAATGCTTTAGATAATAAAAATGGGAGCTTCCATTACTCAAAGGCATGGACAATTTGTCATTACCAAGAATCCAATGAAACAAACAGATTATTCTTTGACCCGAAAGTACCAGCAATATTTTCCTCTGTAAATCATTTTCCAAAATGTGCAGTTAGAGAGAGCTTTATTCGGAGCAACACACAAAAACAAGCTCCTGATTTAATGAAGAAAAAAAAAAAGCCTCCAGCCATTAAATATTAGGACTAGGCTCTTTAGATCCCTTTTTAGTATTAAATGTAGCTTGTTAATTATAATTCCTTTTAGAGGTCTCTTGTTTTCATCTTTTGAAAAGGTCTCATATTAAAATAACTACTGCTTAGGCATCTGGTAATTTTGTCTTAATACCTACATGCCGTTGCTATTACTGCTAAAGAGATTCTGCTTAATCCAGCCACTTAGACAAAAAGCACAGCTCCTGCTCCTTTGTCCCCTGACAATATTTGTCCGTTTATATTCCCTTTTTTTTTCCTTTCTCCTTTCTTGCTTAAAAAGAAAAAAAAAAGCCTCACAACAACAAAAGAGAAAATTGTAATGCAAAAGAAAAAGTGATGTTAACTGCCAGTAGCACCAGGCCACGTGCCTGAATGACTGTGGCACCCACGTCTCTGGGAAGCTCTGAAGCCACATGCTGCTTTTGAAGATCTGAATGCCTGTGGAGCATGTAGGGGACAAAGTCTCAGATGTGAATTTTCCCTGGTAAATAGTACTGGTGCATAATCCCCTGCAGCCAGGTGCAGGGCTGCTGTGCCTCCGCTCCTCACCCCCAGTTGTGATGGGTGTTCCTGGACTGGACTTCACAGGGTGAAGGGGGTAAAAGCTGCCTGCCCACGTGCACCTGCAAATTTTGTAGAGGTTGCAGAGCTCCACAGTGTTGGCTTTTTCTCCTACTAAAGTAGAAGTCAACATGTCATACACCTCCTATAGCTAAAGCACATGCTTTGGTTTGAATTGCTTCCAGCCTGCCGCCTTCTTTTTTTCACCCAGTTTCACCTACCATCCTCTGGGAAAGAAGGAACTTATAATAAACATTGCATTTTCGCCTCTACAACTGTTGCCCTAGGTGCCTTTATTACGTATTAATTGCTCTCTGTTGTGAGAGATATTTAACATCCAGGCTTCTGGAAAGCCGGCTTTTTGGAAAACTGGTTTCTTCTGTACAGTGAAACAAAAGGAGGAACTGCAAGGAAAGGGAGGAGGGAGGGGACTGAAGTGCGGATGAAATGCTACAAATTCTCCACCGGGGGGGCGAGGGGAATAGCAGGGCTCCATGGCAAAGCCCTCCTTTGTGAAGCTGGGTCTGTATACTAGTGTCAGCAGTGCATTTATCGCATCACAGCTAGTCATGTGCATACTGCGGTTTATTACGGAGCTTTTGACAGATTCTGGGCGCACTGCAGTGGCCTTTCTATGGCCCCTTGAAAACTTTACAGCAACGAAAAATTATTTCATCACAGCCATTCATTCCTGACATAAATAATGCTCGTACAAGCAGCGTCATTGTGAAGTACCAATATCACCAAATGCCCTTTTCCAGAAAATCTTAACTTCTCTTTTCTATCATACCTTGATGGCAAAGACAGTAGGGTCAGGTAAAGCATCGCAGCATATTAAGAAAGCCATAATTTTACTGTGGTGCTCTGATAAAGAAGGTAGTTTGACATAGGGAAACATCTAAATATTGGAGCAGGAGCCCGGACTCCTGGGTTCTAAGTCTGTGTTCAGCTCACTTAATTGATACTAACTGATACAGCTTGAGAGTCTTGAGCTGAGACCCATCTGCCCTTTGGTGGTTACAAAGCAGCAGTCGCATGGAGCCTTTTTCGGTCTGTCAGGGAAGGATGGGACCACCGGTTTTTTTGGTTACATTTTCTGTCGCCTTAAAGACTTAGTCACATCACAGCTGCGTGCTTAGGGTACACCTTAAATCGGCTTGAAAATTGAAACTGGTCCTGAACTTCACATCAGTCGTGCTAAGACGACTGGAGACACTGAATGGAGTTCAATCCAGTTGGCGGCCGCTCACGAGCGGTGTTCCCCAGGGCTCAGGTTTGGGGCCAGTTCTGTTCAATATCTTTATCAATGATCTGGATGAGGGGATCGAGTGCTCCCTCAGTAAGTTTGCAGATGACACCAAGTTGGGTGGGAGTGTTGATCTGCTTGAGGGTAGGAAGGCTCTGCAGGGGGACCCGGACAGGCTGGATCGATGGGCCCAGGCCAACTGTATGAGGTTCAACAAGGCCAAGTGCCGGGTCCTGCACTTCGGCCACAACAACCCCATGCAGCGCTACAGGCTTGGGGAAGAGTGGCTGGAAAGCTGCCTGTTGGAAAAGGACCTGGGGGTGCTGGTTGACAGCCGGCTAAACACGAGGCGGCAGTGTGCCCAGGTGGCCAAGAAGGCCAATGGCATCCTGGCCTGTATCAGAAATAGTGTGGCCAGCAGGAGCAGGGAAGTGATCGTGCCCCTGT